CCCAAAAGTGTATTCCTAGATTTGAGTGAGATAAAATTGATCTCACCATATCTAACAAAGCCTCATTTCTCTATTCAGCCACTCCATTCTGTTGTGGCGTGAAGGACATGATTAGTTGGTGTGTAATTCCATTTCGTATACAAAAGTCATTGAATAGGTTGGAGATATATTCTCTACCCCTATCACTCATATGAGATTTTGTTTTTCTTCATAACTAGTTCTCTACCAGTGTTTTATATTCTTTAAAATTTCTTTAATACTTATGATTTTCTCTTAATTAAATTCACAAAACCAAACATGGATAAATCATCTATAAAAGTCACAAAGTATTTATTGTTCCCAATGGGCCTCTTCAATTCTTGGATTTGGATCTAAAATTGTATTTCCTTAATGACATAAGAAAATTCAATTGATACACAAGTAATCAGTATCGATTTTGTATTCTTTCCTTTCTTAAAAAGGAGTCTAGTCTTTTTTCTACCGAGGAATGGTTCACAATATTTGAAATTTGTTTCTATTTTGGGAATTAATTCATTGGAGCTCATTCTCATCATTTTATCATTATTTATGTGGCAAAGCCTCATGTGCCATATATATGCATTATCATCCACATGATAAACACAATTAACATAGCCGGAATGAGCATTAACTTTATTAATAGTCAAACAGTACAACCCATCAAACTTATCCCCAAACTTTAAAAATCTACATCAAAACCCTTTTCATCTAACAGAGGTATAAACAATAAATTTTTCTTACAATTAAGTGAACACAATACATCAATAAGGATTAAATTAATGTTCTCATTTATAGGGATCTTCACTTTTCTGGTTCCAAGTACATCAATGTAGGTGTTGTTTCCCATAAAAAATTGTGTTCTCCTGTCTTCATTTCCTTCAATTCCAAGAACATCTCTTTAGTTTTGTAAGTGTACTTAGATGAGTCAGAATCTATGCACAGTCAGAAAAACCGGAATCAGTAAAGTAGGATTCAAGGACTACACAAACTATGTCCTTTTTTTCAGTTTTTCCTTTTTCATTATTTGACTTATTCTTCTTGCATTCAGGGCATTTATATTTTGTGTAGCCTTGTTTTCCACAGTTAAAGCAATGTTTTCCCTTAGTCTTCTTGAATTCGTTTAAGAATTTAAACTTTTTTATTGAAATTCTTTCCATTATTATTTTTGAAATTTTTGCCTTTAGGCTTCTCAACCATTTGGGAAGTTTCAGTTGGTTTGGAAGTAACCATTAAGGATGAATGTTGTGATTTATTCCTCTTCCATTCAACCTCTAATCCTAGCAAAGTATATAAGTTTTTTATACTAACTTCTCTTCCAGATAGGTCCAAAGTAGGCAAGTTTTTTGAACGAAAAACAATCGAAGAAACTCAAACTTATGACTTGTTGTTGCCCTAAAGAAATAAAGGGAGGAGTCGCCAAAGCCTGAAGCCAGCGTCATTGGATATGGGAGAATAATCTTGAACAAAAGATTCTTGTGTGGAGTAGGCGTTGGTGTTGATATAAGTGCAAATCAAGCTTTTTGTAATATTTTTGACAAAAAAGGAGGAACGCCCGAAATGGGGTTTCAGTGGAGGATGAGAAAAAGCCTTCAAGTTGAATAAGTTATATTCTCTCTCCTCTCCCTTTTTTGAATCTTAAAAGGTGGGATGCACGTCAGTGTGGCACGACTACACTCAGAGTACTATACCAGTAGAACTTGGCTCTGATACTAGTGAAAAACTAAGGTTAAATACCTGTAATCTTGGATGACAGGAATCTCAATGATCAAGAGACACACACTCACAGAAACAAGAGACAACGGGAGAATGCATAATCTAAATAAGCCTACACAGGAAGCTTTTAGTCCATCCAAAAAGCAATGTATCTCACTTGTATCTTCATATGGCTGAGAGAGCAATATTTATAACAACAACTCCCAACGTTAACTTCCCTGGTTCTGGGAATAAAAATAACCGAATGAGAACGTTGGGTAGATTGCTCCCTAAGAGATTGAATGAAGCCCCATCAGATTGAGACAAGCGTCTCATATTGACCAAGGATCTAACCACTTGGTCATCCAGTCTAGACTAGGTCAAATGGATATCCATTGACCCAATAAGAGCTGGAATCAGGATCAGAGAAATCCAACAACATTGCTATCTCTATGCATAAAACATTTTCAAGTAAACAATCAAATAAATTTTCTTTCAATAGAAAATAAATAAATAGGTAATAATTAAAAAAAGGATGATTGTGTGCGAAAGTGCTGCATAGAGATAACTAGAAAAATAGTCATCTTCCATCAACATGTTACTTGTCACATGGCCATTGGATATTCCGACATATTGAGGATCAAATGAGGGCCTATGGCCACCCTACAATCAAGTGGGATTGAGTAGAACTGTTATAAGGGAGAGATGATGACCGTGGTCATGTTGTCACTGAGACACCATGGGTTTAGCTTGTATGCTTTGCTCATGCTCTTGTAGTGGTACAAGAGGGACTAGCGTTGGCTTTGACTAGACTTGTTCATGGGCCGGGCTCGGGCCGGGATTTTAATCTTCATAAACAGGATTTTGTTAGGCCCAAGCCCGAGCCCGACCCGACCAACAGGCCTACAACTTGGGCCCGAGCCCGGCCCTAATAAAAATCCCAAAGCCCGACCTAACAGAAAAATGGTCGCCGGTGCTGAGTTCGTGTGACTGTTCGCCAGTGTTGAGTTCGCGTTGAGGTGTTAGCCTAAGTTCACCAAAGAAAGTAATGAGAAAAAGAAGGGCTACAGTTGCTAGCCTATGTTCGTTGGAGATCACCGAAGAAGAAAAACGATTGAGAGGGAACAAGGAACTGAGAATGAGAAGTGAGAACTGCTGGTCCGTTTATCAGAGAAGAAAACACTTGAGAAGACATGAATAAAGAGGGAAGGGAAAAGTTAGGCTTGGGTAGGGTTTTGAGAGTTTAAAACGATGACTGTTCATCGCCGCCGCCGATGCTTGTGTTCGTCACCTCGCCGATGCATGCGTTCGCATATGAGATTTTGAGAGAAGAGAAGTGAGAAGAGGAACGAGAGAGAGAGAGAGAGAGAGAGAGAGAGGACTCACCGCCTGTCTGCCAGAGTTCACTGGTTGCGCTGGTGAGTGTTCGCCGGTTCTGTCTGCCTAAGAGTGTGAGGTTGTGACTGTGAAAACTGAGAAGAGAGAACTAAGGTTCGACGACTAAAACTAAGAGAAAGAGATGACTAAGAAGAGAGGGGTTAGGATATTTAGGTCTAGGGTTTTTGGTTTAACCTATAGGTCGGGCCGAGCTGGGCTGGGCTTTTTTGACAAATCCCGAGCCCGAGCCCGACTAGCCCGACCTGCCACATAGTTGGGCTCGGGCTTTTAGGCCCGAGGTCAAGCCCACAGGCTCAAGTGTGTGTTCAAGCCTATCCGGGGGCCGGGCCAGCCCGTCGGGCTACCCGGCCCATGAACAGGTCTAGCTTTGACTAACCGTGTGCATGGCTTGAGGTGTGCACGACGTTGGCAAGGTTATGTTTCCCAATAGTCGACGACAAAGCTATGCCTTAGTAAGGCTCCAAAGATAAATGATGGCAAGGTATGTCTCAGTAGCCGACAACAATCCTTGGGTTTTTAGAGGTTGACAAATCATCAAATCGCCAATCTCATTTCCTTTTATTAGCAATATGGAAAACATGAACCACTGATCAGATACTGGAGTTCATTCGTTATCTTACAATGATTATCTTCGCCTTTGGTGATGTTGGAAAATGCGGTGATGGTCATTTTTCCCCTTTCTCTTTCATAGGTTCAAACCATTAGGGTTTTAGGTTGAAGAATGGTAGAGGTATTTTTGGTATATTGTAAAATGGGTCAAATATAATAAAGGGTAAAGTAGTAATCTATCAAAATTCGTTAGACCATTTGCCATCAACTTACTAGGGTTCTTTAGATGTTTTGGAAAGTTGAGAAATCGTGAAAAATAACGGTGAATGGTTTGAATTTTGAGAAGATGGAAAAGAGATTGTATTCAGTCCTCAGAAAACGATGCCCACACACCCTTCCAGCCAATTGCAGCTGTGCATCGAGAATATTTCTCAAAAAATAAAAACTACAGTACGGAGATATTCCTAATGCACGATTACTAGTGGTGGCTGTGAGTAGCAGTTGTGAAGACTGAAGACTGATCCGAATTCGATGGTGAGGGTTAAAAATTTACAAAAGCCGCCGCGTTGCCATCCCTTGTCTCAATCACCCGGCCAGCGGCCACCCGGGAAGAGAATGGATATGCGGCGATCCACACGCGTTGGCTGAACGTGTGATCCGGTTAGACCAATTAATGAAACTCGGATATTGGTACCCAAAAAAATTGAAACCAAAGAGTCCCGGACATTAGCTCTTCCGGTATCATGTCTTTTCCGGCAACATAAATTTATCCAAATAACAAATAAATCTGGTGAGTTGTCACGGACAGGAAATAGGCCACCAATCGGCTGCCGTGTGTAAGGTTTACGGCCGAGATAATGATTCAGTAAGCTTTTCAGACCGAATTCGGATCAACTACCAAACAAATGGTAGCAACAAATTCCCAACAAACTATTGTAACCGTATATTGAGAACATCTCTCCATAGAGATGTACTCAATGTGCGGGTGCAGTGGGCTGTTGGGACATCATTGATAGCGTTTTGTGGGTAGCAGATCCCTGCCCGTTGATATCACTAGTGTCACGTGCCTGTGCCAGATGGAGTACAATCTGTCATTAAGAGGTGGCATCCCAATCAGGAGGAATACTATCCAACGAGAAAGCTCACATGAGAGGGTTATCTTTAAACGTTAGATTAGAATCTTCTGAACATGACACTTGTTCAGAAACCACTGAATCCTATCAAAGGCTAATCCAACGGTTAGGTTTTTGTAGGACTATACTTTGTGTTACTCCTCCTAAAAAAAGTCCATCACGAGTCACAATTCAGAACCACGAAGGAAAAGAACAAAGCAGGCAGAGACATTTGGAAACTGGAAACAAAAGAAAGACATGCTGAAGGGTAAAATTGAAAATACAGACAAAAGCAGAGGAGGTCGAAGCATTCGATGAGTTGAACCTTTGTTCCCCGAAGTTTCTCTTCGTTCCGTTTGTCAATTATTTTCAATTGATCTTCTCTCAGCTTCCGGCTTCGGTACGTGCATTAGAGAGGATCGCTCTTTTTCTTCTGTTTTCCCTCGCTAGGAACAGGTTTTCAGATTGTTTATTTTTGTTATAGGGTTTTAATTTCCATTGTTCTTTGCCATTGATGCTTTTGTTTGGTCTTTTTTCTGTTACCTTTTTATTGGTTTTTTCAATCCAGAATTTGGATGATGTGAGGTCGCATATGATTGGTTTTTTGTCTCTTTGACTTATTTTGATTTAGACAAGTCGGTGTTTCGGACTGAAATCGGTGATCTGAGGGGTATAGCTGTTCATAGTTTGAAGCTTATTATCTACTGCGGAAGGCCTGCTGCTTTGTTAATTTTTCTCTTTGGGGCGTATTCCCGTGCTCGAATACGCTAGGAGATGGATTTGGTATCTAGTTACAAGGTATGCGTCATTTACTTATTTGTTTAGTTTGGGTTTAATTTGGTCAGATGGAGTCCGTGATAGGCCTGTTTAAATGGCGACGATTGAATCGGCTTTATACTGTTCAATGCATAACTTTAAACATGGTACTGATAAATTTATGCTATGCTAGTTTGGATATAGTTTAGTTTTCGAGTTCTTATTCTTTTATTATTTATTTATTTTCAGAATTTGTTGGAACAGTGTAAGTTGTTGCAAAGCGTCTTTGCATTGTTACACAGTAATGATATGATGGTTGTTTGGTTATAAAGACGGGCATCCATATATTGGTTGGTTAAGATGGTAGCTGAAGTGTGTCATATTTATTTTTGTAGCAAACATTCCTTAAAAGTGCAGTAAAATTATTAACGATATTATTTGCTTGTCTATCTCTATCTGCATTGCGATTGGAACTGCTTTGACACCTCCTGAATTACATGAAGTGGTTTAATTCTTCTATCAACTAATGCAATTTGATTTACTAGCTAATTAAGTCCTTTTTTTACTATGTTTTCATCGTTATAGTGGTTTGTTTTTTATCATATGAAATTAAGTTTGCAATCTTGTGCAGGGAGTTGTTGGTCTTGTCTTTGGAAATGACAATTCTGCTTCTAGTGAGGATAGGTAAGTTCTACTCACTTTCCTTTCTCTCCATGATGATAATAATGGTTCAAGGAATATAATTAAGTGTGCAATTGATGCCATATTAGTTTCAAAGTATCTCTGTTAGTCTGTTTTTGTGTAAATATATTTTTCAATCGACTAGGTTATTTGCAAAAATATAAAAAGTCATTTTCTGATGTTAGTCACAGATACTGGGTTCTTGGGAGGGGTGGACTGGATGCAGACCTAACCTTTGACATTTTTTCCTCAACATAGATACTCTCAGAGACTCAGACATGAACCTGTGTTATCATGCTTATCAGACCAAGATTTTACCATTACACCAAGCAATGGCCCCTATTATTTGCATGAATATTCCTTTTGAAAATTAGAATAGGATATGATTTGATATTCAGCCTTCATATGGCAATTTATTGATAGTAAATAAAAAAGATTCACCAAAAAGGAAAAATAGAAGATACAATATCAGCCTTCATATTTTAATTAGCAAGCTAATTTTTCTTTAACTAGCTTCAGGTCCTTGTTTGTTATTCCTGAATTCATTTTTTCTGGTTTATCTACTTTCACACTTGCACCATATGCTTTGGTTCACAAGTAGGAAAATTGTTTTATTAATGGTAAAAAAGATTTACAGGGAGTCTCACCCATACAACTACATATAGTATAGATTTTGTAGCTCATATACAACATCTATGGCTAATCGTCATTATGACCCGAAGATAACCTTTTCCCAATAATTACAAAAATTGACAAAATCCACCCCTTCAAAATCTGTAAGAATGGAAGTGTAAGGGACTGTTGGATAATGGATGTAGTAGCCAAACAGAATGACTTATTGCTTTGTCTATTTTTTTTTTAATAAGTACTTAATGTTTTGTTTTTAGTGATTCATCAGAAAAACGTTTTGTTTTTAGTGGGTAAAATACTTAATACAATATTCAAGTGTATTGTAATTAATGTAACTTGAGCTTCAGCTATTAGGGAGTTCACAATCTCCCTAAAAACTTTTTCACTAAAATGGAAGCAAAAAACAGAAGAGATTCCATACAAATGCTCCAGTGTCTGTATTTAGTTGACATCTCTTTCCATCAAATGCTCCAATTTTGTTTTCCCTCTATATCATTACCATGTAACAAGAGAGATGAGATTCCATACTATGTGATCTTGTTCACTGAAACCGTTCACTGGCCAAGACTCAATTAAAGACAATAGATTGCCTAGGGGTATCCATCGTCTTCCAAGCAAAATGGTAAAATGATTGCATGCTTTGGCTGAAAATTTACCATGTAATGTGAGACTGATTATGAATATCTTTTGTGATTTTTTTTGTTGTTTCTGTGTTTTTTCTTTTTAAAATTAATATTTATGGTTTTGCTTGTTTCAATAGCTATGTGGAACGCTTGCTCGACCGTATAAGCAATGGTGTCTTAGCAGACGATAGGCGTATAGCCATAACTGAACTTCAGTCTGTTGTCGCAGAGAGTGGTGCTGCACAGCTAGCATTTGGGGCAATGGGTGGGTTTTCATTATTAATTCTTTCCAAAAAAGAATGTTCCACATTACCTCTTGTATATCATATGTGTTATGTTCCTGTTATTCACAGGCTTCCCCGTGCTTATGGGTGTCTTAAAGGAAGAACGTGATGATGTAGAGATGGTCAGTTCTTCTTTGCTTTATATATATATTTTTTTTATGTTAATAAGTGCTTTGATATCCTCATCTGTTTGATGTTTGATACCTTTGCTGAAACACGTGTCTAACTTAGTCCCTCAGTCCAGGTTATGTAAAATGGGTTCTGATGCAACAGATAAACTTTGCTGCAAATATTTAATAGAACACATTTTCAAACCTCTCCTTGTGTGGGAATATGAGTATTTTTAGTCTATTCAGAATATTAAAAACTAATTTTCTGGTGCATGTAATCTTACTATAATGCAACTGATGGGCAAGATCACATGGATATTTATTGCTTTGCTACTTGCTAGCTATTCTTCATTTGCAAGGATGGGCTATCATGCCTTTTTTTGCCCTTTTCTCCTTCCAGGGCCTTTTTTCTTTGTTCTTAGTACTGCTTTCAGAGCATTTTTTTTTGATGAATTGCTTTCAAAGAATGTTTTGCCCCTATTATTATTTAGTGACATGCTGATCTTTTCTTTCATTGAATGTATACAGGTTCGAGGTGCCCTGGAAACTCTTGTGAGTGCTTTGACTCCTATTAGTCATGCACCGGGGCGAAAGAATGATGTCCAGCCAGATTTAATGAATTCTGATTTGCTTTCTAGAGAATCAGAAAGCATTTCTCTTCTTATAAGTTTGCTGGTGAGAGTTCCCTTGGTCTATTTACTCTATAGATCCCACATAATAGTTCATGATTAGATATGATGTTTAAAAAGCTGCATAATTTTGTCTGTTTTGGCACTGTGGCAGGCAGAGGAGGACTTCTATGTCCGATATTATACTCTTCAACTTTTGACAGCCCTCATTACAAAATCTCCAAATAGGTATATTATGAATAGCTGAAAAATTACTTTTAGTCCATGGATTCTCTACTCGTCCTGAGATGAAGTTTTTGCTGAGATTCCTTCCTCAGATTACAAGAAGCTATTCTTTCTATTCCTCGTGGGATAACTCGGCTTATGGATATGCTTATGGATCGTGAGGTATGAGCTTATTAGGATACAGAAGCAAAGAAAAAATATCTTCTAGTTAGAAACTAAAAGGCATCTTATTTATCTTTATGAATTTTTAGTTCCCTGAATTGTTAACCTTTGTTCTTCATATATATATATATAGCATACATATATAAACTTTTTCGTTAATTAAATTTACAAAAATATACAACAGAGTAAAGGCCAAAAAAGTAAAAAGTCAAAAACCCAATACAGGAAAAGCCATCAAAGGAAAACCCCAGCTATTTCCCCCAGAAACAAAAATTACAATTCAGCCCAGAAAACCTGATTTGTATTTACCCTTTGCCTAGCCAAAGAATCAACCATGTCATATTCCTGGTCAAGCATTCACATTTCTTCATAAGATTTCTATACATCCAAGTTACTTTTTCTCATTCATTAACAAGCTGGTTATCACTTTTGAATAAACCTTCTATAATTAGGTTGGGCACCCATTTCCACAGCCTTCTGCACACCAAACACAGCTGCCATAAATTCAGCTTTTGTCAAGTCTTCAAAGCCAATTGGACCAGAGTACATTGCACCTATGTTACCTTCATCATTTCTGAACACACCCCCTATACCAGAAGGCCCCAACTTCATTTATAACAAGCATTTTGCTACTAATGAGTGGTGGGAGGATGAAATTATCATCTTTAGTGTCCCTAAAAGCAACATATAGTGGGTTTAAATGTAACTACACATCACACATTATTCACAACTTTATATCTTGCTATAACAAATGACATTAACGAGAACTTTTTCTCCTTTTACTTTTTTCCCTAATTTTTGAGACCTCTAAAAGTTTTGTGCACTTGTGCCTTTTGAGCTTAAGACTGATTGTTCTGTTTGTTTGTAGGTTATACGAAATGAGGCTTTGTTATTTCTTACTTACCTAACTCGTGAAGCTGAGGTTGATTTCCTTCCACCCTTACAGTCTTCACAAATTTCTGTCCAGGTGAAAAATGTTTTGTTTTGTACTAAATGTTGCTCTTCTTTAATTTCAGGAAATTCAGAAAATTGTAGTTTTTGAAGGTGCATTTGATAAGATCTTCAGCATTATTAAAGAGGAAGGAGGTTCTGAAGGTGGTGTTGTTGTCCAGGTGATCTTCAGAATTTCCTTTTCTTGTTTCAATCAATTTATTTTTACAACTTCGATTTTTAAATTTAAACCAGTTCAAACAAAGAAGGGGGTCCAACTATGATACCAGAGAGGCATGATATATAAAAAATTTATAACTAATCAACTGGTATCACAACAGTGGTAACCAATCATTTGATATTCATCAAAGTTCACCTGGGGCGGGG